TAAAAATTAAATTACTTATCATAATTTCCTGTCTGCCAAGGATCATAAAAAAATATTGATTTTAATATACTGATCACTAAAAGACCTATCTTTAAATTACTGTAAACAAAAAATACATAATGTGTCATGTCCAGCCCAACGTCTAGATTGTCAGGACAGTCTATCAGCCCCAGCTTTTAATGCTGTGCTTATACGCATGTTGTTACACTGAGTTTAGATATTATGCCTGTTCTTGAGTTCCTCTCTCTAATGTTTTACAACCTCATTTTAGTGAGTGTTGTTGAACTGTTGTATCTCTTACTTTTTCTATGAAAGAAAAGAAGAAATGAAAGCAGCAAAATCCCACAACCTACAAAGCTACACAGAGAGGAAGGGTGCACACTGAAAAGAGAAAAAAAAACAAAACTAAATCATCAATGCATGTTCCACTATCAGAATTGTTTTCCCCAATCTAGTCATTACAGATCTGTAAATTACAGATATCAGTTTTATTAAGAGGCTACTTGAGATAGAAATGCTGTTTGTAAGTCTTTTTTTCTCAATTTAGATTATGTTTTATCAAACATTTTCACAGTGCAAGTAGCAGTACACATTACGTAACTCATTACATGCTAACACCAAGTTAACTAACCTGAAAATTAACAGATGTCATTAAATGCTTTCTAACTTTTTAATTGTCCTGGGTTCAGCAGTAGCAGTCATTTTTCTCCTTCTTAGTAGCCGGTGCAGTGCTCTGTTTTTGACTTTCAGCTGGGAACAGCGTTGACAACACCAATGTTTTTTAGTTGATGCTCAGTAATGTTTACTCTGACCAAGGACTTTCTGAGCCTCATGCTCTGCCAGGGAGGAGAGGAAGCCAGGAGGAAGCAGAGACAGCACACCTGACCCAAACTAGACAAAGAGGTATTCCATAGCACAGCACATTATGCTCACTATATAAACTGGGGGCAGTTACCCAGAAGGGTTAGATCACTGCTGGGTCTGGCTGGGTATCGGTTGGTAGGTGGTGTGTGGTTGTATTCTCTTCCCTTGTTATTTCCCTTATCATTATTATTATAGGTGGTAGCAGTAGTGGTTTGTGTTATACCTTAGGTACTGGACTGCTGTTATCTCAGCCCATGGAGTTACATTCTTTCGAGTCTCCTCCCCATCCCTGAGGTACCGAGTTACCAGCTGGGCTTAAACCATGATATTAATACATGCAACTACATGGCCCATCTTCTGGCCTTTGATGCGATTTCTACAGAAACCAACTGGTTATTTATTTACATTTACAGAAGAAGCCTTAAGACTCTGTCTTCACTCCTGTGTTCATGCTATTCTGTTTTTTCAAAATACCTGACTGAAACTCGGTTTAAATACCCAATAGCAAGCTCACAAACTCGGATTTGCTATATATATTATTTGCCAAATATATTCATTATGAATCAGGTCATGAACGAGCTTGGGAAAAAAGAATTTACAATTAGTACAAGCAAAGGACAAACGAAAGCTTCCAAGCTGAGCTAGTCAAACATTTCCAGGTGTGAAGTTTACTTCTGGAAAATGCCAATACAATGAAATACAAAGTGTTCCTCAGAAACATGCCAATTCCATCAAAAACTTTTGAAGGAAATTAGGTCTCGGAACCTATCTTAAGCAGAGCTCGGGAACTGGAACTCCCCAACTAGCTCTGCAGGGGTTCCTCACATGAGTTTCAGGTTTTACAACAGCAGAATATAGTGTAGATCTTTCTGTTACCTTATCCTTATGTTACTTTTTTATTTTTCTTATTTGAATTTGCAGATGTTTTGGACTGATTTTGTTTTGGTGAGAGAATAAGACCAAAATTGCAATATTTAATATTTCATTTCTGGAAAAAAATAGGTAAACCAGTTATATGAAATAATAGACAAAAAGCAGGCTATTGTTTTTACCTGTAAGACTTCTGTACCTTATCCTTCACTGCTACCTAAACAATCTCTAAATATGTATGCTTTAATTCTTATGGTACAGCATTATCATGAATCCCAGGCAAACTCCTCTACGGCATGAAAAGATGACCTGATTATACTTTTGAATCTCTGAAACATACCTATTCAGATATAGACTCATATTTATCAAAATAATCCCAACTCTGCCTTGCAACATTAATCATTACCTCTCAGGATTATCTGTGGTGGTGTGACAAACAATTATTAATTCATCACACAACAAAATAAGTTTGAAATGATCTGGATGAGGAACAATGCTCACCGTATTTTGTTTCGCTAGACAAAGGGGTGTGACTTTAAAGAAGCTTCAGATTAATTGACAGATTTTCGATATATGTAGACTTCAGTATCTCATTTCTAGTTGCAGCAGAGAGAAAAGAAAAGGATCTTCAGGTACACAAAATATTACAAAAACAATGAGTCATCTGCACTTGACAGTGCTCTACAGGTATAAATTACAGCAGATCCATTATAGCAAATAGAACCATGTCAGTTTACAACAGTGAAAGATACAGCCCTGAACTGTCTCTGCGTGCCATTCTGCATTTGCTGAATTGACTTTTGATCCTGCACCCCACTTAGATCTCACAAATCAAATGTAGAGTATAATTCTCGTAATTTCCTACCATAGAACACTTTGTACAATCTAAAAATTAAATCTTTTATTCTTGGTTTCACTTTCTCTTAACTTTCCCAGAATAAAAGTTATCTTAGATCTTGCAACAAAGACTAGAACAACTTCACTCTCTGCAGAAAGTTCATTGATGAGAGACAGCATTGTAAATTTCATGTTTATATGCAGGAACTAAAAAGGTGTTTTGTTTAGCCAAGAGTTTAACTGAAGTGTTTAATTTTCTGAAGATCAAGAACATCTAAATCTAATAATCTGATGTCAGAGTTACACATACCACCAACAATATGTATTTTTTTCCTGAAATCAAGATGAAATAACATTTCAATTGTGAGGTCAGGTATTCTATAAAACACAACTTCTTGCAAATTTTTTTTAATCGTGGTCACGTATCATGTAGATACATAGCCAGGTCAATATTCATGCAAAACTGATGTTATTGTGGCAGACCAGTGATTTTGCCTGTACTTGAGAAGACGGACTTCAGCAGCTCCCTCCCAGACAGTTCATCCTGACCTCCTATGTGCTGTCTGCAGAAGAGGCCCAGCACCAGCTTTCTGTCCTGGCTCTTTGGCTGTGGGAGCAGAGGCCAAACATTCATGCTCTACTCACTCTGTTGCTGGACAGCCGAGAGCGGCCACCCTAGAGGCTGGATTCAAATGGACTTTTAGGTGGGGAAGCGAGGCACAAGCGAGGTTCTTGTCTCACTGAGGGGAAAGTCACAGTGTGTGTTTGTGTGAGGTGGCTCTACCTTACAACTTCAGTTTACACCTTTGCCTCTATTAATAGCAGGAATGGAGGCTATGTGCTCCATGTCTATATGGAGAAATCACCTGTTAGTTTTGGCCCTATACCTTCCTCCCTCTGTAGTGCACAAAAGCACAAGATTTTAGCTCATCCCAGCAGCCTGAAAGCTACAGTCTGATAAACAGAATAGCAGGAGTTGGCTGCACATGGCAAGCTAGTGCAAGACAGACAAAGGTTATATAGCACGGGAGAACATGTGGGGCCTTCAGACTTTCCGCTGAAATGCATTGGTCCTTCCAAGGTCATATACCTTACCTGACCATCCAGCTACACTGACTCCACTCACCACTGTTCACAGACCCTTTCTTCCACTAACCTTCAAATCTTCTCTTTCTCTTACCTTCATCTATGCCTCAGAAAATCTGCTGTACCAGAAAATTCATTGGTGCTGAAGCAACCAAGAACCCTTCAATTTCCTCTGAGAAAACAGTCAGTCATGCCCTGTTGCTTGTATAGATTAATTTTGAGGATTCATATTATGAGTGAAAACCTTCAGGGAACATGTATGCTCTTATTTCCCTAGACATATTACCAGGCCTTAAGTAAGTAAAATATTTTACAGTAAAATAAGTTGCCAAAAGCTTTACTGGTTTATATTTAGTCATTTTAATAACAGTGTGTATTGATGCTTTGTATGTGGCAAGTGAACAATCCAGCTATCACAGAAACTTACCTTAACCCAACAGTTAACATGGATCACAGTGAAAATGAAAAAATAGAATACAACACACATTCAAGCTTTATTAGACACACCATTCTAAGCAAAAAGCACAAGAATGCTATCTTACATGCCCACTATCTTACAGATCATATAAAACACAAACCCCTCAATGAGTCTGTAAGTCATCACTCAATCCCCAGAAGTACAAATAAGTGTAAATGCAAAAAAATAACAGAAATACTTGGTAAGAACGCTCAGGCTTTTTCCAACTGTTTGTTGCTTCCTCTTGCATAACTGTGGATCAAAAATGACATGTCTCAAATTCAATTACGTTTTACAGTATGAGCAAATAACAGCAATCTATAGTGGACAGCATCCAGATGCAGAAATTGTTAAAACCTAACACTCTACAGTACAGGTCCCATCTGCATTATAATACATAATGCAAAAATACTACCTTGAAGCAGACAAAAAATTTACTCTCACTCAGATTATCTTAGTGAAAATGAAAACATATTACTATAAATATACAGTGCCATATCCCAAAATCCAAATATGGTCCCTTTTTTTTTTTTTAAATGAGTTAAAGGAGCTTTAAATCAGCTTCCAGTTGATCCTCACAAAAATATTAATATTGACTAAAAGAACTCTGCATCACTGCTTTTGCTCTTTTTGTATCTATGAGATCTTCAGGAAACACACACTTTCAGAAGAGCACAAGATTTGGTCAGTCCTCCACTTCCTGATATTTATGTAAGATCTCTAAGTAGCAATGTATCTTTGCTTTTCTCTGCTTATGAAAACATTTGACATGGATCAAAGCCCATTCTTTAGTCTCAGGTATGTTGGAAAATGGGTGGAAATGGAAAAGCAACCCAGACTGCACATAAAAGACAAACAGCTAACAACTGAAAAAACGAATTCTTACCAAAGAAAATGGGAGACTGGTTGCGCTTCTCTTTTGGGGAACTACTGTTCAGAGTGTTTGACTTCTTATTTGGTGCAGTTGGCAACAAATTTACTAAAAGGAAAAGAAAAGTGGTGTGTGTGAAACTTAAGTGATGGTTATCTAGACACACCAAAGCTCTGAAAATAACTTTCGACTGGTACCCATTTGTCTTGCTCCATGCCAGTATTAATACCACTAAAAGACAGCAAGCATTTCTTTGAGTCCCAAAAGTGTAGGAAACTCATATGCTGAGGTATCTTTGGGATGGATTCCTTTTTCTTCTTTAATTTTACCAATGAAAGTTTTAAATCAAACATGGTTGGTAAGGTTGTTTTTATATAGCTAGCAGACATTCTAACATTTGCAATTGTAAGCCTTTTTCAAAATACATATTACTGAAAGAAAAATGGTTATGAAGTTATCCTTAATGTTTCTGTCTTCACTGTGCTTACAGATTTCATATAACATACGTATCTTCAAATAAATGGGAAAATGAGTGGACAAGGGACATCTGCAATAAAGAAGGATCACTATAAACAGCAAAAGCAAATTCTTACCAAAAGTCCCAGGGAACTGGTTGGGTACTTCTACCAGGGAACTGTTGTTCACAGTGTTAGGGTGCTCTTCAGTTGGAACAATTGGCAATAAATTTGCTAAAAGAAAAATAAAAGGAAAATAATAAGGAAAAAACCCAAACCCAAATTGGTACCAATGAGGTGGACTGTGAACTGGCTGAAGGAGAGAAGCCAGAGAGTTGTAGTCTATGGGGCGGAGTCTAGTTGGAGGCCTGTATCTAGTGGAGTGCCTCAAGGGTCGGTACTGGGACCAGTATTATTTAATATATTCATCAACGATTTAGATGAGGTAATTGAGTGTACTATCAGCAAGTTTGCTGATGACACTAAGCTGGGAGGGGTAGCCGACACGCCAGAAGGCTGTGCTGCCATCCAGAGGGACCTGGACAGGCTGGAGAGCTGGGCGGGGAATAACTTGATGAAATATAACAAGGGAAAGTGTAGAGTCCTGCATCTGGGCAGGAACAACCCCAGGTTCCAGTATAGGCTGGGGAATGACCTGTTAGAGAGCAGTGTAGGGGAGAGGGACCTGGGGGTCCTGGTGGACGACAGGGTGACCATGAGCCGACACTGTGCCCTTGTGGCCAAGAAGGCCAATGGCATCCTGGGGTGTATTAGAAGGGGGGTGGTTAGTAGGTCGAGAGAGGTCCTCCTTCCCCTTTACTCTGCCCTGGTGAGACCTCATCTGGAATATTGTGTCCAGTTCTGGGCCCCTCAGTTTAAGAAGGACAGGGACCTGCTGGAGAGAGTCCAGCGCAGGGCAACTAAGATGATTAAGAGAGTGGAGCATCTCCCTTATGAGGAAAGACTGAGGGAGCTGGGTCTCTATAGTTTGGAGAAGAGGAGATTGAGGGGTGACCTTATTAGTGTATATAAATATATAAAGGGGGAGTGTCACGAGGATGGAGCCAGGCTCTTCTCAGTGGCAAACAATGAAAGGACGAGGGGTAATGGGTACAAATTGGAGCACAAGAGGTTCCACTTAAACCTGAGAAGAAACTTCTTCTCAGTGAGGGTGACGGAACACTGGAACAGGCTGCCCAGGGAGGTTGTGGAATCTCCTTGTTTGGAAACATTCAAAACCCGCCTGGACACGTTCCTGTGTAACCTTATCTAGGTGTTCCTGCTCCGGCAAGGGGATTGGACTAGATGATCTTTTGAGGTCCCTTCCAATCTCTAACATACTGTGATACTGTGATACTCAATATCACTAAGGTAAAAACCTTGTTCTATTTAAACTAAGGCAATAGCCCCTAATCCTTTCTTTCTTCTTGAGTATTTATACAAATTTATGTGGAGGCATCATGTCAGATTGCAATTCATAGGAACTAGAAGGACAAGAAAGTGGATGAAGTTCTATGATCTGCCTGAATGGCTGTTCTTTGCCTAAGTTGAACATCCAGATCATTCAGAAGTGAGGGACAGGTTTCTCATGATACTTTTGTGGGAAGCTAGCAACAGAGAATAATGAATCCCTACACTGGCACCTCTTTTCATTACAAGACTTAGTCTGGAAAGAGTATATGCAGATGTATGGGTTAAAAAAATAAATTAGCATTTTATGATGTTATAAAGCCAAGCAGCTGGCAAATTTTACATTAAGTAAAAAAGCAGGAGTCTGTAATATTAATTACAGTTAATAGTACCTACCAGCTGGTTTAGTTTATATTTTTAGTTAAAATGTATCTATAATTAATGTTATAAATATAAATTATGTCCAGTTCAGGGTACCCTACTGTTGGCTTTTTTAACATGCCTGACAAAATATTGTGGAACATAGTATAACATGCAATATTGTTTATACAAGAATAAAACTAATGAGGACAGCAACTTACAGTTGCCTTGGCAGGTAGTCTGGCATTCTTCCAAATTCTTGAAGTTATTCTGGTTTCCTAGGCACCCACCGTACTTGAATACTTCACATAACTTTGTCTCTTTGTTATAGAAGTACCTGGAAAAATAGCCTCGGCAAATTCCAGGGTCTTTCTCATGAAAGCAGAAGTTGGGCTTTTCTACAAACAATGGTAAATGATGAACAGGGTGGAGGAAGAAAAAAATCCACACACATTCCAAGAGAACAGTAGAACTGGAGGAAATTTACAAAATAAACCTGTAACTGGACTAAAGAACAAATGTAAAATAACTGCTGCTTTATTCTACTGCTTTTGTTCTACATATAACACTACATTATTATGCTGGAGCATTAGAGGGATAGTTTTATTGCTTTTTATTCTATTTTCAAGTAGCCGGTAAATTGTATTTTGCAAACTAAGGCCTAATGATTCCTTTAAGTGTCCTCTTACATTAAAGCTCTAAGATAAAAATTAGTTTTTACTTTGAAATGAAATAAGATGTAAATCTCAGCTGGATCATTTGAATCTACACACACATTCTTGTCATTTATGTAGGCATTTTAGCCAATGTTTGTGTGAATTATACAGAAAGCAGGGTTAACAGAGAAGGAAAAATTTCTGAAGAGCGAGCAAAAAAATAAATCTAACATTTTGTCTGGTACACTCTATTGCTATTAGAGGATACATGAAACTGGGAGACAGAGCAGCTATTCTTATGATCATTTTTCAGTCCCAGTTCCTCGTTTGCAGTCACACTAACTACAGTGTCAGCCAATGACTTCACTTAGAGGAGAAAACCACATAGCTGTACAATAATCCCCAAATATCAATTTCTCAACATACTCAATTTTTTATCAAAATTGTATTCTTGAAAGAAATTAATGAAAACAGTAATTAAATATTTACAGAGGTGTCTTCTAATTCTTACTAGCAGATACTTTGAAATACAATTCTTGATTGAGCTGACTTGCAGAGAGGAGCGTACTTAGCCATCATATAGGACAACTGTATCAGACATGGCATGTAAAGGCCTCACCTGTGAAACTTGAAAGAATATTGAGAAGAAAACAGTGTGCAGAGTGCTGTTGTTTTAATAAAAATTACTACAGCATAATTACATTGAAGTTTGTAGATCTTTGAAGTAGATTTGGAGTTGCAAGGAAGTTAATCCTGTTACATCTGGTTGATCAAGTATCTATTAAAAACCTGCTAGAATCAGAATGTTATTAAATTCAACTGATGAACATCATATATTTATATAAAACATTATAATAACTCATAATGTTTTTGCAAGAAATAATTGTCAATATCTTGTATTTCAGTTGTTATAAATCTTCATGAACAGTAAATGTAAATTTCAGAGATTTCATGTAAAATTAAACCATTAAAACATTGTTGTATAAAGTAACAAAATCAACTATTTTAAGCACTCCTGAACATCTTAATTTTGGTTTTTCATTACAATTTCATTCTCTGCCAGGGAGTACATGTATTCTACAGTTCAGATATTTCATGTTTCTTACTATTCAAATGCAGTACCTATTGTGCTGCATAAGATGTGCCTATGCACATAAGATGTGCTTTCGGCTGCGAATGGAAATAAGATAGCTATGCCAACAGGTAGCAGGCAAAAGTCTACCAGAGTGATATCAATTCCTTATACCATCCATTAGGAGCTCATGCACAATAGGAGCTACAGAAACAATTCGTTCATCAAACATTGCACAAAATTGTGAAATAACAGCAAAATATTATTAGATAGATAAGAGTATGTAGACTACAGGATTATGACAGATTTTTAAAAGCAGCTGTTCTTCATTTAGAAAATCTTAATATTAAAATGGTTCTTGCAGAAAAAGGAAATTAAGTCCAAATAAGTTGAGCTCACAGCTAACTTTTATAGCCACTTTTGGAGAAAGAGGTCATGAAGGCCATTCATTCTAACTACACAAACTAGTATTATCCCTTTAAATGCCATGTCTTTCTCCAGAGACTCAATGTTCAAGACTACATTACTCTAAACAATAGTAAATATGTAATGATGTTGATGATAGCCATGAACTGAATTTAACAGGATATATTCTGTTTTTTCTAAAAACAGGGAGCTAGGGTCAGACTTAAAGAAAGTAGTGCCAAATGTCTGCAGCATCTGTAGAAAATCAACTGTACTAACTTCCATAGCATGGAATTACTCTTTTTTTTTTTTTTTTTAATGCATTAAGAATGAGAAAGACAGTAGAAAACAGGAAAAGAAAATAATCATCTGTCGCAGTTTAAGCCCAGCTGGTAACTCTGACCCACGCAGTTGCTGGCTCACTCCTTTCCCCTTTTCCCCCCTCCCTGTTCCTGGTATGAAAGTATTACAAAAACCATCCTGCAAAGATAAAGTAGTTAATCTATTTCAAAACATACATGCACATATTAGTATTTCTGTGAGGAGTTAAATGCACAGGAATTCAAGGAGGTATGAAGAAGTGTAAGCAGAGAAAGATGAGCTGCCTTGTGAAGAAACATATTTAAGTCTGCATTTATGAAACTCTGGATACCAGCATTGGGCCCAATCCAGGTACATCTCTAAAGTGGGAAGGGTGGAATGAGTCTTCACAAGCTCAAACTTAAGGTAGCTTATGTTCCTAACAAGGATATTGAACAGACCAACACTGTTTCAGAAAAATGATTCTCAGTACTTAAGCATTGGCTATTTAGGAACTCTGGGTATCTGGCATTTAAATTTCTTTAAACAGTCTGCCCCTTCAGGAACGAGAAACTTGTTCCATGGCTTAATGTGTAACGAGGGGATCTGTCCTAACATCTGTTAGCTTCTACCCAGGCAATGCTTGAAAAGTTCATTTTCACAGTGATTTTTTTCCTATTTTTCTAACAATGGAGGAAGCATTTAGATTTGGCTCAAAACACACAATAAGAGTTCCACATCACATCAATTATGCAGCGCTTGAGTCTCTGCAGAGTCCTTTTGTCTTTACTGAAAAGTGTCATGATGTGTATATTTGGGGGAGAAGAGACTGCAGCTACCATCTTCAGTGACCACAACTGTCCTCAAAGTCTTTGATGAAAACAAACGGAGAATAGGAGTAAGAACTCACTTTAGTCTGACATGGCAATTTTTGATTGCTTTTGATAGTTCACATAAGGAATGTATCAAAAGAAGCTAAATCTCTTATTGTTGTATAAGGGCCTTCGATTACAATGTAAACATAATTACCTTCCTTAATTTTTGTCAACATCCTCTTCTGAAGTAATTCTGCAATATAAATGAAAAAAAAAGGAAAAGAAAAAAGTATTAAAGTATTTAGCAAAATCAATCCTGATAATTCTCACCTGTGTTACCATGGTGCTTAACAGTAATGATGAGTACTGAGGAGGAAGAATATAGAATCTCTTCCCCTTCTTTTTTCTCCTTATTAGAGAAGTAACACAAAAGCTTGTTCTGGAGGACTGAAGTATCTTTTCCTTTCTATAGAACACCTGCTATACTGGAAACTTGAGGATATGGAAAGTACTGGAATCAAATTACGGCAATATTGAATTGTACAGGGAAATTCCTCTTCATGTTACTGGAACCAGAATCATGTATTATGCAATCTTACTCCTCTGAAGTGGAGTATTTTAGCAGACTAACAACCAAAGTGCTGTAACTGCTGGCACTGCTAATTGGAGTTGAAGTAGCTAGCTATAAGTACCTTTTGCAGGCTAATTCTTTTTTCTAAACTGTAGTTTGGCTCTCTGAACTCTCTTGTTCTGAGTTCAGTCAGGTTTAGGAATTACTTAATTCTGGCAAGTCTTTAAAAAGCTGTTCTGATTTAAGAGGCCTGGCAATTCACTCATGTTGGCTCATTTATTCATGTATTTGTGCTTAGTATTGGAAAACCAGAAACTTTGACTATTCACATTGTTTCTTCTCAATTTCTATATATATCATACAACTTCCCTTTAGCTTATTTTTAGCAGTCTTGGCCTTCACATTCTTTGCAGTGGTAACTGCCTAAGTGTCTTAAAATTTTCTTTATTTTTAAGCATTTTCCTACCTACTTTCCTACACTAGAAGCAATAAGTAAGATGAATACACTACAAAGCTGCAGAGACAGAGTCAGATTTAACAAAAAATATACTGAATTATATGTTCTTTTTACTGAACTGTGTTGGCAAAAGTCAGTTAACTTATTGATTTACTTTGTTCTATGGCTGATGGTTGACAGCATACTCTGTGTGCCACTACATTTTCTCTGCTGTTATTCATTCAAAGAGTACAGAAATAATGAGCCTTTATTGCTCCAGTTCCTTCTAACAGATTCAATACTTGCAGAGTCTTGGATCTATGTACTATTATGCATACACAAAATACTGTACTTGGGCTGGGTACCAAGATGTAGACACTAAGACAGTTCTCATTTTAAGAAACTGTTTTATACTGTGGACTTATGCCAGTTATATGCCAGTACAGGATTTGGTCCAGAAGATCTGTTCCAGATACTGTCCCAACATATATGTCAGAATCAAAATAACATTATTAGTCAAAATAGCAACATTAGATTGAAGAAATAATTTTATAGATCTTCACTCATGCGACATGATCAGGACTTTTGGATACTTTACATTCCAAATTCATTATCTATAAACCCTGCCTTTTTCAGTTTAGCCTTCTGTCTTGGAATTTCAGCTCAAATTTAGGACAAACACTCCAAATTACCAGGAAGTAGCATGTTTTGGATAAGATGGTGGCAGCTGCAGTTCTGCAAACAACCCTGCTCCAGGAGTGGCAAAAATGCTACAAAGTAACCAACAGCCAGCCTGGTGACAGAAAAATATGTGCTATCTTCACATTCAAGATCCCAGGTCCCTCTGATCCTGAATGCTAATTAAGAAAAACAATTTTCCATTTTTTATCTTGAAAGACTGTATTCACTAAAATTTAGGGAGCCATAAGTAGATCACTGTAGAAGTGAAGAAAATGCCTTTTAAGGAGGGTTGTTCTCAGAATGATGTTGCGAACTTTTATTTTTTTAACCTTATGTTTATGTATTAACTGTGGAGTTCAGCAGCAAATTTTATTTCCGTGCTGAAAATTTAATATGGAAAGAAACTTTAAAGCTGGCTGTCCATAGAGAAAAAAAAACCAAGCTAGTTAAATCCATGATACATACTATGACTTATGGAAGCCATATGAAAGAGGAAGAATTTTAAGTTTAGAAATGCCATTTTTCAGGAAAACAGACAATTACTATGTAAAATATTAATTGAAAATAATCTGTCTTTAATGCTCATGAAAATATTATTCAATTCTGATAGAGATACATATTCTGGATAACCATACAGAGTAAGTAATGATATTTAATATTCAAAAATCTGCCCAGGTTGAATTAAGTAGAGGAGGGACATCAGTTTCTTTAGCCATAAACCTTTACAGGGTGATGATTAATTAATACTAAATGTAAGTCTTTAACACACAGTTTTTGGTGGGTAGCAACCTTCAGTCCAAATTGGAAGCAACATGAACTCCTGCCTTTTAGGCTTTAAGCACTATATCCCTACCTTGTCTAATAACAAGCACTAAAACTGACATACCCTGGTTGAAGGAAATGACCCAAATATAGAGTATTGGCCTTGAGATAAGAAATCTGAAATTTGTTGCTGCTTGTAAGCTTAGCGTGTGGTTGCATTTAGGGCAAGAGATTTATAATCAAGGAAGATCCTTTATGCCTTTTTTTTTTTTTAACTTGAAATGCTAGGTTATGTTAATTAGTAACTAAGGAATTATGATTTCCCTATCATTTTTCATCAGTGGGATGTAATTTCGAGGTATACCTTACTTTAGTATCGTTAGCACTACATTTACACATATGACTTTATGTGACTTCTGTAAAGAGGGTGAGACTGTGACAGATTCTTACAAGGTCTTTCCTGGAGCACACCTAGTCTCTGAGGCTCGTTAGTGGATTTTGCCAAAAGCCATTAAAAGGTGAGTTTCAAATTGAACCGTAGAGTAAAATGCATTGAAAAATTGACACTCACTGCCAATCACACTAGATTGCCAGCAATTTGATGTTTCTCACTTGGACAAGTTGTCAGTGAAATTTTGTAGTGTTTTCCTATCTTGATGTTCTATAAGCATTGAATTGAGAGGAAAATGTAATTTATTAGAAAAATAACTGGAACCTGCTTCATTTTAGAATTTAAGATTCATATATTTGTGGGTTTTGTTTTTGGTTTCTTGAATGGATTGTCTATAGTGCCTGGTACAGTAACAGAAATGCACAGTGCTGCCAGCAGATCAGAAAATAGGTGTGAACAGTATAATGGAATAATGCCTTGACATAGTGAGTAAATAAAATGCATTCTCCTCACTTGAAAAATCAAAGGGATCAAGACCAGGGTTACCTCTTAGGAAGGATGGGTTTTCCTCTGTTAGCTGTTCTTTCACTATTTTCTGATCAGTGAAACTTTGTGCTCATATAAAACACTTGAGGTTAAATTTTGCTATTACTTATACATACAGTCCCATTGAGGCCTTGTTCCATTCATCCATACTATTCTGTCTCACTTTGTACAGGTGAAAAATGACCCCTGCTTTACTCTGTAAACACTATTGGAAATTGGTGTAATTAGAGATGTCTAATAAATGTGTATAGTCACTTATTCTTTCCCTTGCTGTGGCTGGATTCGATACAGAGGGAGAAAAGTCTCAGTCAGAGAACTGAATTACAGACTTGAGATATTCACAAAGCCTATGCTGGACAATGACACGTGTTGCTGTTGCATTGGTTTGTATTCCTATCTCCGAGGACACATCAGCTACCTGTATCTGTAGCTGAAAAATAGTATAAGGAAACAGAACCTGTGAAAACTTACTAGTAACTTTTCCTTTCATTTTAAACACCTGTAACTATTTGAAAAATTTGTAAAAGTATAAATAGGTATTAAGACTCTATAATATATTATCAAGGCTATATATTTCATGCAGACAGAAGAGATGCTTGTGAGATGTCTTGTTGTGGTCAATGGCTCAATGTCCAGCTGGAGATCAGGAACGAGTGGTGTCCCTCAGGGATTAGTGTTGGGACTGGTCTTGTTCAACATCTTCGTCGCTGACACGGACAGTGGGATTGAGTGCGCCCTCAGCAAATTTGCCAATGACACCAAGCTGTGTGGTTCGGTTGATACGCCGGAGGGAAGGAATGCCATCCAGAGGGACCTCGACAAGCTTGTGAGGTGGGCTGATGCCAACCTCATGAAGTTTAACCATGCCAAGTGCAAGGTCCTACACCTGGGTCAGAGCAATCCCAGGCACAGCTACAGGCTGGGCAGAGAAGAGATTCAGAGCAGCCCTGCGGAGAAGGACTTGGGGGTGTTGGTCGATGAGAAACTTAACATGAGGGGCAGTGTGCACTCGCAGCCCAGAAAGCCAATCATATCCTAGGCTTCATCAAAAGGAGCATGACCAGCAGGTCGAAGGAGGTGACCCTGCCCTTCTACTCTGCTCTCATGAGACCTCACTTACTGTGTGCAGTTCTGGTGTCCTCAACATAAAAAGGAGATGGAACTATTGGAACAAGTCCAGAGGAGGACCACGGTTATGATCAGGGGGCTGGAGCACCTCCTGTATGAAGATAAGCTGAGAAAGTTGGAACTGTTCAGCGTGGAGAAGAGAAGGCTGCGTGGAGACATCATAGCAGCCTTCCGGTATCTGAAGGGAGGCTATAAGGATGCTGGAGAAGGACTCTTCATTAGGGACTGTAGTGATAGGAAAAGGGGTAATGGATTCAAACTTAAACAAGGGAAGTTTAGATTGAATATAAGGAGGAAGTTCTTTATTGTAAGGATGATGAGGCACCGGAATGGGTTGTCCAGGGAAGTTGTGAATGCTCCATCCCTGGTGGTGTTCAAGGCCAGGCTGGACAGAGCCTTGGGTGGCATGGTTTAGTGTGAGGCGTCCCTGCCCATGGCAGGGGCGTTGGAACTTGATGATCTGAAGGTCCTTTCCAACCGTAACTATTCTATGATTCTATGATTCCGTGATTCTATGATTATATCTACTGTTCAAGTAAATGCCAGACACCCTGAGCTTTACTCCCTGCTCTGACTGAAGTACAACCTGTGGGCTTCACTAATTTTTCTGTTGCCTTACCACCCTCCTTTTTCCATCTGCAAAAGGGAAGACAATAAATTGTTTATTTACAGCACCTGGCTTATTGGTATCATCTGTTTAAGTCTGCAGATTCTGAGGATCAGAAGCATGATGACCAACATTATTAAAATACTACTTAGGGTAATCATAGAACAGTTAAAGAACTCTAAAGGCTACCTAGTACCAATCCCTTGCCACAGGCAGGGACACCTTTGACTAGACCAGGTTGCTCCAAACCCTGTCCAACCTAGCCTTAAACACTGACAGGGATGGGGGAGCCACAGCTGGTCTGGGCAACCTGTGCCTCACCACCCCTATAGGGAAGAATTTCTTCGTGATATCTAATCTAAATCTCCCTACTGTCAGTTGAAAGTCATTCCCCCTTATCCTATCCCTACGTGCCCTTGTAATGTGCACATTAGTCCCAATCATTATTTTCACACTGAGATGGGAGACAGATACTTACTCTGATATCTAGAAACAATCTAGTGACACAATCCATAGTAATTTTTATTCACGAAATACAAATGTGCTATGAAACAGACAATGTAACAGATTTAAGACCTGATCTAAATACTACATAGGTGTGAATTCTGGAAGGGACAGAGGTGGGTAGCAGAGACATGTATACTTAATACAGACAAAGCATGATGCTATAAATCGTCTTTTTTATATATATATATACATATATATATAGTCTGTTTGGATCAGAAACCCCAAAAAGCAACTTCTGAAAACAAGTTTCTAATTTGAAATTTCTGGAAGCATTTTTTGTAACATACATAAACTTGCTGTGCTTGCAAGTGACCTCTGCTGATCCTAGGAGATATAAATTTATATCCTGGATACCAACTCAGTGCCTACAGAACCAGCAGTTTTTCAGTTTTTCAGTTTTCTGGAAAGACCCAGGGCTAGCACAGGTTATAAAAAAAAGGGCAAACAAACTAACACCAACCAAGATCTGCATAGCAGTAATGTGTTATCAGGGCACATGTCTAATAGGCAGGAGAGAGTAACAATTTTAATTTGATTGTGTTGGCCATCCACAGAATAACCTGTAAACTGCACTGCAGAATTGCCCAGCACCACTGTCTTGATCTCAGTAACACCTACTGACATATTCTGCTGCTTGGCAAGACATATGTGACTGAAAAGCACCTTCTAGTGAGAATGAATCATAGAATCACAGAATGGTTTGGGTTGGAAAGGACCTTAAGATCATCTAGTTCCAACCCCTGCCATGGGCAGGGACACCTCACCCTAGATAGTGTCACCCAAGGCTCTATCCAACCTGGCCTTGAATACTGCCAGGGATGGAGCATTTACCACTTCTTTGGGCAACCTGTTCCAGTGCCTCACCACCCTCACAATAAAGAACTTCTTCCTTCCATCTAAGCTGAACTTCCCCTGTTTAAGTTTAAACCCATTACCCCTTGTCCTGTCACTACAGTCCCTGATCATAGTGTAAGCACATTAACTAATTAATTTAAAATAACTGGAAGCAATTTAAAGCTAACTAAGAAGGAAAGGGGCATAAAGGAAGGGGGGTGGTAACCTTCAGGGCTGGGGGGGGGAAACCAAACACCAGTCTTAGCTATGGCAGACACAGCCCTTCAGGTGGCAACACAGTGTCATAGTTTAAGCACGGCTGGCAATTCACAATCTCGAAGCTGCTCGCTCACTCCCCCTCTTCTTGCTCTTCCTGTTCCCAGAGGGATGGGGAGGAGAATCAAAAGAATGTGAATCCCACGGATTGAGATAAGAACAGTCCAGTAACTAAGGTATAACACAAAACCACTACTTCTACCACCAGTAACAATAATGATAAGGGAAATAACAAGGGAACGGAATATAAAACTAACAGGGGAAAAGGAAAAAAATAAACACAAGTGATATAAAATACCACCACAAAAATGCTCACCACCTGCAGACCGATATTCAGCCCGACCCAAGCAGCGATCTGGCCTTCTGGGTGACTTCCCCCAGTTTATATACTGGGCATGAAGTGCTGTGGTGCGGAATACCCCTTTCGTTACTTTTGGTCAGGTGTTCTCTCTCTCTTCCTCCTGGCTTTCCGTGCTCCTCCTCACTGGCAGAGTATGAGACTGAAAAGTCCCTGATCAGAGTAGGCATTACTTAGAAACAACTAAAACATCAGTGTTATCAGTACAGTTCTCAGACTGAAGTTGAAAAGATACCTGCACCAGCTACTAAGAGGAAGAAAAACAGCTGTTACAGCTAAACTCAGCACACACTTAAAAAACCTTTCCTCTTACCTCAAAGTCTAAATAAATGAACATCTAATGCATGAATTCACTTGGGAAAAAAAAAAGCAAAACCCTCAACAAACCAACAACAAACTGTGTATGTTTGGTATACTATATTAGGGTTATCACACACCCTTGAGGTGATCTTTATTCTGGTATTTTCTATTCCTATTGCTCCCCCTCAGTACTTCTCTCACTATCAGTTCCTGTTCAGACAACCAGACACATTCTACCTAATTTCCATGAAAGCAAGATCCATATTAGGTATCCAGAGGAAACTCTCAATAAAGTTCCTTCGGACTCTAAAAACATGAACTTGTCAAAGTTCTAGATCCATGGCCATTAACATTCAATTGTAAGAATCCTATGACTTTCATGCATTCCTGCGAGGAACAGGAGTTGGCTACTTTCATGAGGCTAAAAGCCTTAGTTACAAGGATCATTTTTTATAGAAAAGACAACATTTACAAATCACTTCCTTCATATTCTGCTGGGTATCATATTTTGGATCTCATTTTCTTCTTTCAACAAAACAGATTTTTTATGACAAACAGCTATAACTGTCACTTTTTAATGAAAATTATTTACTACTGTAGTTCTACTTATGTTGAGTTATAAAGATGCCCAAGATTTTGGACAGCTTCTATCAGTTCCTCAAGTAAAGGAGAAACCTGGGATTAAAGTTAGCTTAGGTACTATGAAAGCAATAAAGGGCATCTGTGCTGCCCACCAGCTTAGCCAGACTTAGAATAAATTTTAATGTAAGAACTCATTCAAAACAAGGGCTCTAGCTAGAAAATAAGCTTTCTCTCATTGGTCTTTCTATTCCACAAGTCCACTAAAAGAAGTCACACTTATCTTTTCTGAATCCTGAACGTTTGCTTGCACAGTGTAAAGTAATTCAGATATCTAAAACCAAGTATAGTACTTGGGAACAAAATTAAAGGCATCAAATTACTGTATTAATAGGAACTGAAGAGGGCCTCTATTTCCAAAATTCAGATGGTTTGTGGATGAGAAATAACATGCAAATAAAGAACTAATATAAGAGAATGTGTACTGGCCTGTTACCACACACTTCTTCTGACATTCTTCCAGTGTTAGAAAGTTGTTTTCATTGCCATGGCATCCACCATATTCAAATATTTCACACTCATGGCTTTGAATATTGAAGTAATAGCGCATATGGATTGCTTTGCATGGACCTTCATCTGCTTTCATGGCACAGACTGAATGCCCTAGTTTCAGTGGTGGCAAAGCAGCACCTGTAATACACAAGAGAGGTAGAACAGCTGTTAATTAAGTTAATTTGCTTCACTGAACAGCATGACTTCAAAATAACGGTGCTTGCATCTTCTGCTAGACAGGCACTACATAACATCTGGCTGTAAAGCTCTGACCACTCTAAACATAAATGTAGAAAGAAAATCGTCATTTGCACAGCGACACAAAGTCCATTTGAGCAAACCGAGTATGCGACTTCAAGTTTCAACCGAAACAGCTCATATTATAAACTTTAACTTCTCATCATAAACATCTCCCTCCCACCCACCTCCCATATGAAGACAGGCTGAGAAATTTTGGGCTTTTCATCCTGAAGAAGAGAAGGCTGCATGGAGACCTTATAGCAGCTTTCCAGTATCTGAAGGGGGTCTACAAGGATGATGGGGAGGGATTCTTCTTTAGGAACTGTAGTGATAGGACAAAGGGTAATGAGTTCAAACTTAAACAGGGGAAGTTTAGGTTAGATATAAGGAAAAAGTTCTTTACTGTGAGAGTGGCGAGGCACTGGAATGGGTTGCCCAGGAAAGCTGTGAATGCTCCATCCCTGGCAGTGTTCAAGGCCAGGTTGGACAGAGCCTTGGGTGACATGGTTTAGTGTGAGGTGTCCCTGGCCATGGCAGGGGGTTTGGATCTAGATAATCTTAAGGTCTTTCCAACCCTAAGTATTCTATGATTCTATCTTAAGGTCCTTTCCAACCCTAACTGTTCTATGATTCTAATATCTAAACACCTATGGAGCTAGTAAGCAATTCTGAACAAGAAATACATTGAGAAAATCCTAATATCTCCTAAAGGCACAACAGCTACATAAAAAAAGGCAGAAAGAGGGTTCCTTGTGCTCTCCTCAATGCACTTCTAATAGTGAACATAGGTTATACAGACATCTCGTAGCAGTGTGGAATAAACAAGGCAAGACGCCCTGAAGAGGGCACCATTCCCCCCTCAGATTACACTTTACTGGCACATAAAGCCATTCAATACAATGGAAATGTCATCATCCTGTCTTTTTTTTCTTTGGTCTCACTGTTCTGGCATTAGAGCTTTTGGGAGTTAAGAAGTACACAACCAGAAAGTTAAGGTGAAAAGAAACCATATGTTTTCAAATTGTGCTATTTCTATGCCTTTCAATGTTTTCAAAGGGAATGTTTTGTAACAAAACATCATATATATAATGAAAAACGCTATTGAAGTTTTACACTGTTAATGCCTAATATGGAAATTCTGACTGATGATCCAATTTGTGATACAGTTCCCTTATCAATATATGGTTTAATATCTTTTCCTGCTTTGCTTTTCCTAGGAACTATTTTACCCTAGAGGCCTTTGAAATCTTTACGAAGCTTGTGTGCTTGCAACAGCAGCAAAAAAAAACCAGACCTAACATTTTCATTCATTTTCCCACAGCTAGTCAGAACATTAATGTCTCTTAACATGTATATGCAAATGTATCCATCAGTGCTCGTTCGTTGCAGCAGTCCAGGAAACAGGAGGGGGAAAAAAACAAAAAACAAACCACAGGGGACGAGAATTTACATGACCATTGCACAGCTTTGTGCTACTAACTAGATAAAGTTTCCAGTTTTAATTTAAAGAATACATAAAAATCAGGCTTTATGACATGGTAAAAAGGAAATTGGTATAACTACTATCTAGCTCCACAGTGGATATCTGGTTTTAACATATAAAGTTTACCTTATTTTATAACCTTTAAGTGAAATGCACAGCTGAGATAAACCCTCATAAATACTGAGGTCAGTAGAAGTTTACTAATTTTATTACATTTGAGTCACTTGTAACTATTAAACCTATGAGAAAGAAACAATTTTCAGCACTCTTTTTAATTCATAGCATTCAAATCCTAAAAATATTAACAACCTTTATTACACAATTGCCATCCACACAAAAATTGTAGCACACAAATTATATTTTCAAAAAATGGACAATTTGGTGTTAAAATACAGATTACGGTTACTATTTTCAAAACTCTTATTAAATATTCAGTCCCTTAAATAGTTTGTGATTGTTTCCTCACTAGTGAAATTTTATTTCCAGAATTTGAAGTCAGGAATTTGAAAATATTATTGAAGACTTTCTAATAGAAATGCAAATGAGTTAAAAGAAACATTTTTAAGAGTCACTAGATTCAGTAAACTTCCTATGGAACTCTGCTTGCATTTCTGAATTTAATTTCTTGCCAGCTGCCTTATCTGAATCTTCCTGAGTCCAAAAAGAATTAGGATTTGGAAGTCTCAAGAGATTCCAAATTGGTCCTCAAAGGTTTAAAGTTCTCCACCAGGTCTGGGAATCCTTTGGAAGGGATAAAAAGGCTCAACACTGAGAAGCTGAGAGGATACTTCACTGCAAAATGAAACACTGGATTTCCCCCATTCAGTAGTAGGGAATAAAATGGCTTCATAACATCAAAGTTTCTGGAATAACCCCTGAAATGGTAAAAATCACATTCACGGCTCTACAGAAGCTGATCCAACTGAAATATGGTTGGGGTGAGGGCTGGCAGCTGGTTTATAAACACGTTATTTTCTTGAAATACAAGAAATGAAAACCACATGACCTGTGTTAGTGACCTCAGTTCAGTCAAGGAGGAGGTTGTGAAAACTTACTAGGTTTCCTAACTACTGGAATTTCAGACATAAGGTTATGTCAGCTCATTTTGCTTTCTACATTATGCCACACCACTGCTGTGGGCTATCAAAAAAGAAAGAGTGTGCAAGCATAGTTGCAAAACTAGAAAGATGATGAACAAATGGCTTAGTACAGTTTATCTTAGGAACTTTCTGGTCTCAACTCCTAACCTATTTCACATTAAACCCACATAACTAAATCCTTGTTTTGCTTACCTCCTGAGGCCTTTCCTCTGCAGTCACAATAGCACCGTCAGTCAGATGTACTGACATCTGCTGCATACATAAATACTGTGTGTCCTGGGTTCAGCTGTAGCAGTCATTTTTAGCTTCTTAGTAGATGGTGCAGGCTGTTTTCAACTTCAGTCTGAGAATTGTACTGATAACACACCGATGTTTTAGTTGTTGGTAAGTAATGCCTACTCTGATCAAGGACTTTTCAGTCTCATGTTCTGCCAGTGAGGAGGGGCATGGGAAGCTGGGAGGAAGCAGAGAGAACACCTGACCCAAAGTAACCAAAGGGGTATTCCACACCACAGCACTTCATGCCCAGTATATAAACTGGGGGAAGTTACCCAGAAGACCAGATCGCTGCTTGGGTCAGGCTGGGTATCAGTCTGCAGGTGGTGAGCATTTTTGTGGTGGTATTTTACATCACTTGTGTTTATTTTTTTCCTTTTCCCCTGTTACTTTTATATTCTTTCATCTTGTTATTTCCCTTATCATTATTATTATTGGTGGTAGCAGTAGTTGTTTTGTATACCTTAGTTACTGGACTGTTCTTAACCTGTTGGAGTCACATTCTTCCGATTCTCCTCCTCATCCCTCCAGGAGCAGGAAGGAGGGGAGTGAGCTGTGTGGTTCTGAGTTACCATCTGGGCTTAAACCACAACACTGTGTCATACTTTTTGGCTATCAGATGTTTATTTTCTTAGGAGTGCTATGAAGTTACTGTGTGTTGACTAAAATCTGTACCCTTTATAACCCCTGTGTGCCAAACCCTCCAGTTCAAACAATAACCAAGTAACTCTGAAGAAAGACGTCTCAAAGGGATTCATGGGAACGGAATCATTCTTGTGTCTGGGAACACTGAAAGAATTCTTCGCCATTATTTTACATCTGGGAAAACTTAACTCATGGAGATGATAAAAAAAAAAATCCAAATTTGTTTGTACTAATATTTCATATGAAATATACCTCAAGAAAATTAATTCTTAGTATAAGGACTCCTCCTTTGCTCTTGAACAGTGACATAAATTGTTCCTACTACATTTTAGGTCCTGTGTGAAATGCACAGTGTATGATATTTAGGGAAAATGTCTGTCAGGAAGGTCACTGAATATTCTCCAATAGAAACATGGGAAGCTAAAACTGGAAGGAATTTTAAGGGAGGTTCACATTCAACTTTTGGCATATTTCTATGGAATAAATACCTTGAGACCTTTCCTGACAGCTGTCCAAACTGTTCTTCAAAAAAAAAAAAAAAATCCAGTGAAGTAAACTTTCCATCCACCTGAAGCAGTCAGTTCCCTGTCTACTACCATTCTTGCAAGATAATCCTGTTTTGTAGTATACAGCCTAAATATTCCTTATTACATATTAAACCTTTTTGTACTTCCTTCAGTGTACAGACAGACTAATACTGATGCAGAGGGTTGACCCATGTACAGGGGGGTCGTACAGGGGGGTTAGAGGAATTCGCTTGCTTAAGAAAAGGTATTGCCTGTACCTATCATGCCTACTAAGCAGAACAAAGGCACTAACTATTGATAAGGAAAAGCAGACACTTGGTTCTATTGACAAGGAAAAGCAGACACCTGATTCTACCGATAAGCACCTATTGATAGGGAAAAGCAGACCCCTGAATCTACTGTTAAGAGGGAGAAGCAGATGGTTGATGGCTGGGACCAAACCCTAAGGCCGTACGTGAAGACTAAAAGGTGAAAAGTTCAAGAAGAGGAAGACTCATTTACTTCATCTTTAAGACCCCTACCCACAGGAGGAAGACTCATTTACTTCATCTTGAGACCCCTGCCTATGACCAGAGGGGGCACTGTGCAGGCGCAAAGGACCTTCTAGCTCATTGTAATAGGAAACAGGGATAGGACATGAATATGTATAGGTGTATGGTGCAACCTTATAAATGTAGAGGGAAACAACACTGGGGCACGCATGACTTTGAGGAATTATCCCCGTGCGTCTCAACGCTGAATAAAAAGCATACCTACTTTACAACTTTTAACGAGTTGTGGAGTCAATCCGCGCATCAGTACCATGTATATAGCCAATTTATTTTGATCTACCTGGATCTCCCCAGGTCTTTGAAGACAGTTTCCCTC